GTGTACCTCAAAAGGTGCCACTCCCAGCATTTTCTGTTGTATTTGGTGCATTGATGTGAGAATCAATCTTTAGCTAGAAACCTTTAGATGAGTTCTTTTAGCCTACCACTGCAATATATGTGTATTAAGTGCACTTGCCCAAGTTGACTTTGAACTGATTTAGTGGGTGCCATTTTTTCTACATATAAGTGTTTACTAAATGGCTAAAACCAGTTCATTTGAACTTTTGGAACACTAACTAATGTCTGGTTTGTTTCCTCTTATTGGAGCAAAGGAATTCATTGTTTATTTGTATTTGTTGCATATATACTGTCAGAAACACACTGGGACTTTTTAGCTTTCTTGGAAATATTTGTAAGCATGACTGATTATATTCTTTAAATACAAGTCACCATACAAATAATATCTTGTATTTCCTCAAATATTATATACAGTATGCTGGGAGGTCAAAAAACATGTTTAATAAAATGTATGAAAGTCTATTTTCTCATCTTTCAGTTCTCAGTAAAACAAAGTACTGAGTAAAACTACATACCATATTTTCCGGCGTTTAAGACGACTGGGTGTATAAGACGACCCCCTAATTTTCCAGTTAAAACATATGTTTTGGGCTATACTCGCCGTATAAGACTACCCTCCTTCCGAGGCAACACCATTTAAAAACATCAGATTTTTTTATTGAAATGGTTATGACTTACAGGTACTTAAAATCCTTCAAAATCCTCATGTTCATCCTCTGACATCATAAGTTCATGAATGACATCTTGTGATACATTTGTAAGACAGTCATCATATGGATCAAATTCCAAATCAGATGGTTACCTCTGGATGTGCGGTAATACGGTAGCTTTGGCTACATACAGTATACAGTATAAATACAGCCCGCTGGATGTGCAGTAATGTACATACAGTATACCGTGCTGAGCCAAGCTGGCTCAAAACAAATGTCCCTATGACAGATTAATCTGTCAGCCCGCTGGATGTGTGGTATATACAGTATACTGCGCTGAGCCAAGCGGTTTCAAAATGTACCGGTACGTCCCTAATACAATCAGCCCGCTGGATGCATGTATGTACGGTAGCTGAGGCTACATACAGTATACACTGGGCCAATCACGGCGAGCAATGTATTCTATTAATGAATACAAAGCCTGCTCGGATTGGCTGAGGTTGTGACATCATCAGCCCACCTCTCTGACTCAGCCAATCTGAGCAGGCTTTGTATTCATTAGTAAAATACATCGCTCGCCGTGATTGGCCCAGTGTATACTGTATGTAGCCACAGCTACCGTACATACACGCATCCAGCGGGCTGATTACAGTAGGGACGTACTGGTACATTTTGAAACCGCTTGGTTCAGCGCAGTATACTGTATACACCGCACATCCAGCGGGCTAACAGATTAATCTGTCATAGGAACATTTGTTTTGAGCCAGCTTGGCTCAGCACGGTATACTGTATGTACAGTATTACCACACATCCAGCCAGCTTGACCCAAACAAACTCAAGGTTCACATTTTATACCCCACGTATAAGACGACCCCCAATTTTTGGGGTATATTTTCAAGTATAAAAAGTAGTCTTATACGCCAGAAAATACTGTAATTCAAAATCTATGATGCCAAATGGGTATTTTTTGTAAAGCTTTGTATTTGTAGCAGTTATAATGGTGAAAGAAATACATATAAAAACTACTAAGGTGCTACATACAAAAAATATGAAAATGGCAGTTGTTAAAAAGTAACCTAAATCATTGCAGCAGTAGTACAATGAACATATGTACAAAATAGGAAATGAGTGAAAATGTATTGTTGTTTCCTTTTCTTCTGTAACATTGTTTCTGCTACAAGGGAGTGAAAAGTCTATTTCTAAATTATGTGTATACCACCCAGTGCTAGGCACAGACACCTGTATTATCAGTGAAAAAGTTTTGTCTGAACTTTAGCAGAAGCTCCCTTTTCTTTTACAGTATGCCAAGGCTGAGTTATTCTTCGTCATCTCCATACATAAATTCCTGGTTTCCTAAAGCAGATGTATAGTCTAAACTCATGTCTAACCTTTGTAACCCTTCCGCTGTACTATAACAATACATAGCAACTGATATTGTGAACTACTGATGACTTCAATAGCAAATGCACAACCATGTGCTACTGCAGGAGAGAATGTCTGCTAATAGGGGACCACATGTTGCATGGACTAAGCTGTTTTTCCAATTTTACTGCTGCAATGGACCTCAGAGCTACTTGGAGGAATCTACAGTCAACATCAATTATTGAACCTGAAGGAGTGGCGAGAGGCCTCTGGCCATTCCATGTGGTAACGGGATCATTACTTAAAGAAAGCAGACATGTTAGATTGAGTGTTTAAACATCCTGCAACCCTGTGGATTAAACTCAGCTTTTGACTTATATTTACTTCTTTCAGTATATAGATTTATTTGTGTATAGGTTTGTTGTGTGTGTGTGTGTATTTTTATATATATCTATATATATATATATATATATATATATATATATATATATATATATATATACACACACACACACACACTGCTCAAAAAAAGGAACTATTTTTAATCAGAGTAGAGCATCAAGTCAATTGATCTCCTGGGATATTGATCTGGTCAGTTAAGTAGCAGAGGGGGTTGTTAAATCAATTTCTGCTGCTTTGGTGTTAATGAAATCAACAACAAGTGCACTAGATGGGCAACAATGAGATGACCCCCAAAACAGAAATGGTTTTACAGGTGGAGGCCATTAACGTTTTTTTTCTCTACTCATCTTTTCTGACTGTTTTTCACTAGTTTTGCATTTGGCTAGGGTCAGTGTCACTACTGGTAGCATGAGGCGATACTTGGACCCTACAGAGGTTGCACAGGTAGTCCAACTCCTCCAGGATGGCACATCAATATGTGCCATTGCCAGAAGGTTTGCTGTGTCTCCCAGCACAGTCTCAAGAGCATGCAGACTGGAGGCACCTGTGCGTGCACCAGCTGTGCTCCTGAGTGGACCACCAACCAGCACTCCTACAGGGGACCTGTGCAACTTTGGGCCTGACTCCCACTGTCCCACTCTCAGGGGAGTCCGGAACTTAGCTGCAAGGGAAGCCCTCTCTCCATTGGCCTCCATCACCAGGTACGTGATAGAATGTCTCTGATCAAACAATCAGAAACAAACTTCATGAGAGTGGTCTGAGGGCCCGACATCCTCTAGTGGGTCCTGTGCTCACTGCCCAGCATTAAAGAGCTCAACTGGCATTTGCCATTGAACACCAGAATTGGCAGGTCCGCCACTGGCGCCCTGTGCTTTTCACAGATGAGCAGGTTCACTCTGAGCACATGTGAATGTTATACTGTCTGTAACATTGTTCAGCATGACTATTTTGGTGGCAGGTCATGATGGTCTGGGGAGGCATATCCATGGAGGGACACACAGACCTCTACATGCTAGAGAATGGCACCCTGACTGCCATCAGGTATCAGGATGAAATTCTTGGACCCATTGTCAGACCCTACACCGGTGCAGTGGGTCCTAGGTTCCTCTTGGTGCACGACAATGCCCGGCCTCATGTGTCAAGAATATGCAGGCAGTTCCTGGAGGATGAAGGCATTGATACCACTGAATGATCCCCCAAGCTCGCCTCACCTAAATCCAATAGAACACCTCTGGGATATCATGTTTCAGTCCATCCGATGCCACCAGGTTACACCTCAGACTGTTCAGGAGCTCAGCGATGCCTGGTCCAGATCTGGGAGGAAAAACCCCAGGACAACATCTTTCATCTCATTAGGACCATGCCCCGATGTTGTCAGGCATGCATACAAGCATGTGGGGGCCATAAACACTACTGAGTACCATTTTGAGTTTCTGCAATGAAATTTCAGCAAAGTGGACTAGCCTGCTGCATAATTGTTTCACTTTGATTTTCAGGGTGTCTTTGAATTCTGTCCTCTGTAGGTTGATCATTTTCATTTCCATGAAACGATTGGGCGTCCTTATTTTCCTAACTTATTACCCAGTCCATATCAGTATAGATATCCAGCATGATATTTTTCCCCATTGAGATCTGACTTGTGTCCCTTTTTTTCCTAATTTTTTTGAGCAGTATATATATATATATATATATATTAACCAAAGTAATACCACAGTATACAATGTAGTATGTCTCAGCATCAGGGTATATAAAAGAGAAAGAAAACACTCGGATGACTGCCATATATTCTTGCGGAGCATATTTCCTGATGTTATTTATTACTGTATTGTTTTGGTGCATTATACTGGGGTATATGTTGTAAAATCTAGTATTATTTTGTGTTTTTACTGCGGTGTCAAAATATGGTAAAGATAACAGAGCACACATTTGCAGACTATGTAGGGGATAAAGCCTATCTTAGATTAACCTGTGACTAAAAATAACATCTAAATAAAACACTTTGTTTGGCGAATACTAATAGGCTGGTTAGCCCCATCACTTCAGTATAAAATCAAGGGTGGAAACCTGGCTTCATTGGGTTGGTGGGTCTCTATGCAAAGTAGGACATTTTTTACTGAGTCTTCAAAGTAACAAGCAGATATGTAAAAACAGAATTCACAGTCACTGACACTGGGTTCCAACCCTAAAGGAACAGGGCAACCATAAAGCTTCCTTGATAAACTGTACTTTTAAGTGTACCCTAACAAAATAACAGGCTTCCATGGAGGATGTTCCTGTACAGATAGGAGAACACTGTGCAATTATTATAAGATCTATTAAATCCTTACCTACAGTAGCAGATACATCTTTGTTGAAGGAACCATCATAAACTCTCTGTAAAAAGGAAGTTTTCCCAACATTTGTGTTTCCAACAAATATTATCTTATAGACATGATCTGGGTTTCCATGCATCTCTTGAACATAACTTGTCTTCTCTGATAGTGATTGACATTTGTATTTTAGCATATCTCTTTCTGGTTTAGCTTGATTGCTGTTCATTTTTATTGACACCTTTTTTTACAGCCCCATCAGTTTTTCCATTATTATGCTCTGAGTGATGCTTGATGTCTTCAGGAACATCTCCTGGTAATGTACCTTTTTTAAGCGTACTGCTTTTTGGCTGTATGCCCTTTTGTTCCTCTTTGTCTACGTGACCTGGACTTTTAAGGACGGGAAATGATGAATATTTTAAAGTAGGTGAAGTATCTCCAGTTGAGTGAGAAAGGAAAGAATCAGCTGATGCTAGTTCTTCCTTTTGGGCTAATAATTGTGTGATTGTAAATTCCAGAGTTGCCTTCTCTTCTTCAATACTCTCTTCAGGATGTGTGTAGTCTTTTAACAAATACTCTGGCATTGGATCTTCTTCTATAGAGATGACTCTTGATCTTGATGTTTTGAAATCATCAGTATAGTTGGATATATTTTGCAAACTAGAAGAATATGAAAGAATGTTTTCAGTGTGACTGTAGTCAAAAGATAAGTGCAAAATTGGCATCCAATAAAATTTAGGCTCCATGCACACTGCTCCTAGAGGAGTTTAGTGTTTTGCCCGTAGAAGCAACTAATGTTATCCTATGTGTCCATGCACATTACATACTCTAGAGGCATTTTTTAAGCTCAGCATTTTGAAGCAGAAAAAAAACGCTCCTAAACGCTTGTACAAAAACTCTCAAAATTTGTGTTTTTTTCTGAGAGTTTGCAGAGAGCCTAAGAATGTCTACAGCTGTAACATTATAGTGTTGAACTCCAAGTAAACAGCTTGTAAACAGTAAACAGTAAATACAGGTGCATCTCAATAAATTAGAATAACATCAAAAAGTTAATTCATTTCAGTAATTCAATTCAAAAAGTGATATATTTCAAGCATTTCTTTCTTTTAATTATGATGATTATGGCTTACAGCTAGTGAAAACCCAAAATTCAGTATCTCAGAAAATTAGAAAATTGTTAAAAAGTTCAATATTGTAGACTCCAGGCATCACACTCTAATCAGCTAATTAGCTCAAAACACCTGTAAAGGATTCCTGAGCCTTTAAATGGTCTCTCAGTCTGGTTCTGTAGATTACACAATCATGGGGAAGAATGCTGACTTGACAATTGTCCAGAAGACAGTCATTGACACCCTCCACAAGGAGGGTAAGTCACAAAACATCATTGCTAAAGAAGCTGGCTGTTCACAGAGTGCTGTATCCAAGCATATTAATGGAAAGTTGAGTGGAAGGAAAAAGTGGGGAAGAAAAAGGTGAACAAGCAACAGGGATAACCGCAGTCTTGAGAGGATTGTGAAGCAAAGGCCATTCAAGAAGTGGACTATAGCTGGTGTCAGTGCTTCAAGAGCCACCACACACAGACTTACCCTGAACCAGAGACAACGTCAGAAGCGTCTTACCTGGGCTAAAAAGAAAAAAGGACTGGACTGTTGCTCAGTGGTCCAAAGTCCTCTTTTTGGATGAAAGTAAATTTTGCATTTTATTTGGAAATCAAGGTCCCAGAGCCTGGAGGAAGAGGGAAGAGTCACAGAATCCAAGTTGCATGAGGTCCAGTGTGAAGTTTCACAGTCAGTGATGATTTAATGAGCCATGTTATCTGCTGGTGTTAGTCTACTGTGTTTTATCAAGTCCAAAGTCAGTGCAGCCCTCCACCAGGAAATTCTAGAGCACTTCATGCTTCTCTCTGCTGACCAGCTTTATGGAGATGCTGATTTCATTTTCCAGCACGACTTGGCACTGACCACACTGCCAAAAGTATCAATACCTGCTTTAATGATCATGGTATTGTGTTTGATTGTCCAGCAAACTCGCCTGACCTAAACCACATAGAGAATCTGTGGGGTATTGTCAAAAGGAAGATGAGACACCAGACCGAACAATGCTGATGAGCTGAAGGCTTCTATCAAAGCAACCTGGGCTTTCAGAACACCTCAGTAGTGCCGCAAGCTGATTGCCTCCATGCCACGCCGCATTGATGCTGTAATTCATGTAAAAGGGGCCGCGACCAAGTATTGAGTGCACATTATTATACTGTACATGGACATACATTTCAGTAAGCCAACATTTCTGTATTAAAAATCCATTTTTGTATTGGTCTTATGTAATATTCCAATTTTATGAGATACTGAATTTTGGATTTTCACTAGCTATAAGCCAAATTCATCAAAATTAAAAGAAAAAAATGCTTGAAATATATCACTCTCTGTGTAATGAATCTATATAATATATGAGTTTCACTTTTTGAATTGAATTACTGAAAAAAAGTTAACTTTTTGATGATATTCTAATTTATTGAGATGCATCTGTACATATATATTGAGCTGTTTTCTCTTTTATGCAGCCAATTTTGAAATTTACACAGCTCTGTCAGGGGAGGAGACCTGATTTTTATTTGCTGCAATTAAGCTACACTTACAGGCCTTGTCCCTCCCCCAGCCTGTGATTGGGCAGTAATAGGAGAAGCAGCACACTAATGAGTTCATCTCTCTGCCACTCTTCTCTCATCTACTATCACCATGCTCCTTGAACTGCAGCAAAATGAAATGGCTGCTTGCATTGCTTTTCCCTCCCCCAATCTGAGCTCTGTTGCACAAGGACTGCAACAGGGCTGATACTAAGTCAAATGCAGGTACTTATGCTGCTTGCATTTAAGATTGTAGTGTTTGCTTCATTTTCTCAGTAGCAACTTTCATTACCCATCATTATTTAACGTAAATAGATAAAATTGTTAGATTGTAATAGGTAAATCACCTTAATGACTGCCTTATGCTATATTATATCATGTCATAGCCTTCATTTTTAAATATATTCAATGCTACTAAACCATGAACGTTGTTCTATTATATGCAATGCACATGAATCAGTAGGCCGCATGTCAACATTACCGAAACCCACTATGGCTTAGCACCTATGATTAAGCCTCGGTGGGTAGGGCGAAATTCATCAAGGTGTGTGGTTTGGTGGAGACAAGTAGGCTGAGACTGCTCTTTATCATTTATTTACCTGGGCTGGAAGGGAATAATGGCAATCCTTTCTCTTTACATTTACTAGCCCCTAAGATTGGTATTGGGACAAGCCTGCACCCCATGTTCTAGGATGCAGGGATTGGCTTTCACCTCTATTTGGAGAGGCACCAAAAGCAATCAAATAGGTCACACATAGAAAAACCTACTGTGTGAATATGAATTGAATAAAAAAAAACTTCCTGAGCTTCCTGAAACCGAAGCAGAAATTAGAAATTGTATTTATTACTTTTAATCAGACAGACCTATATTGTAGACCAGTGGTCACCAAACTGTGGCTTGAGGGCCAGATGCATCCCTTTGATATCGTTTATCTGGCCCTTGGGGCGCTATTCCTAACACTGACACCAAGAGTGGGGCAAAACAACATCAATGATAGGGTGCTATTCCTACTACTAATATCAACGATGGGCCACTATTCAGTCTGTTGACACCAATGATGGGGCACTATTCCTCTCACTGACAGCAGTGATGGAGCAATATTCCTCCCACTGACACCTACCATGGAGCACTATTCCTCCTCGTATTATCAATTGTGAGGCACTATTCCATATCCTACTGACTAAAGGCACTATGCAACTGAACACCATGACTGGGACATTGTTTTCTCTCACTGATGCTGTGCCTGGGACTTTTTATACCCCCACTGGCCACAATCCAGTCCTCCCTAATGTCTGAAGGACAGTAACAGTAACTTACCCTTGATTTGAAAAGTTTAGAGACCCCTGTTGTAGGCAAAGCATAGCAATACAGAAAGGAAAAGAGTTCAATATAATATATATATATATATATATATATATATATATATGTACACAGTATCTCACAGAAGTGATTACACCTCTCACAATTTTTGTAAATATTTTATTATAACTTTTCATGTGCCAACGCTGAAGAAATGACAATTTGCTACAATGTAAAGTAGTGAGTGTACAGCTTGTATAACTGTAAATTTGCTGTCTCCTCAAAATTACCCAACACGCAGCCATTAATGTCTAAACCGCTGGCAACAAAAGTGACTACACCCCTAAGTGAAAATGTCCAAATTAGCCATTTTCCCTCCCCCGCTGTCATGTGACTCATTAGTGTTACAAGGTCTCAGGTGTGAATGGGGAGTAGGTGTCTTAAATTTGGTGTTATCGCTCTCACTCTCTCATACTTGTCACTGGAAGTTCAACATGGCACCTCATGGCAAAGAACTCTCTGAGGATCTGAAAAAAAAGAATTGTTGCTCTACATAAAGATGGCCTAGGCTATAAGAAGATTGCCAAGACCCTGAAACTGAGCTGCAGCAAGGTGACCAAGACCATACAGCGGTTTAACAGGACAGGTTCCACTCAGAACAGGCCTCGCCATGGTCGACCAAAGAAGTTGAGTGCATGTGCTCAGCGTCATATCCAGAAGTTGTCTTTGGAAAATAGACATATGAGTGCTGCTGGCATTGCTACAGAGGTTGAAGGGTGGGGGGTCAGCCTGTCAGTGCTCAGACCATACACCGCACACTGCATCAAATTGGTCTGCATGGCTGTCGTCCCGGAAGGATGCAAAAGATGAAGCAAAAGAAAGCCCGCAAACAGTTTTCTGAAGACAAGCAGACTAAGAACATGGATTACTGGAGCCATATCCTGTGGTCTGATAAGACCAAGATAAACGTATTTGGTTCAGATGGTGTCAAGCGTGTGTGGCGGCAACCAGGTGAGGAGTGCAAAGACAAGTGTGTCTTGTCTACAGTCAAGCATGGTGGTAGGAGTGCCATGTTCTGAGGCTGCATGAGTGCTGCCGGCACTGGGGAGCTACTGTTCATTGAGGGAACCATGAATGACAACATGTACTGTGACATACTGAAGCAGAGCATGATCCCCTCCCTTCCGAGACTGGGCTGCAGGGCAGTATTCCAACATGGTGGTGACCCCAAACATACTTCCAAGACAACCACTACCTTGTTAAAGAAGCTGAGGGTAAACGTGATGGACTGGCCAAGCATGTTTCTAGACCTAAACCCTATTGAGCATCCTCAAACGGAAGGTGGAGGAGCGCAAGGTCTCTAACATCCACCAGCTCTGTGATGTCATCATGGAGGAGTGGAAGAGGACTCCAGTGGCAACCTGTGAATCTCTGGTGAGCCCAAGAGGGTTAAGGCAGTGCTGGAAAACAATGGTGGCCACACAAACTATTGACACTTTGTGCCCAATTTGGACATTTTCACTTACGGGTGTACTCACTTTTGTTGCCAGCGGTTTAGACATTAATGGCTGTGTGATGAGGTATTTCGAGGGACAGCGGAATTTACACTGTTATACAAGCTGTACACTCACTACTTTACATTGTAGCAAAGTGTAATTTCTTCAGTGTTGTCACATGAAAAGATATAATAAAATATTTACAAAAATGTGAGAGGTGTACTCAATTCTGTGAGATTAT